TGAGTGTCTGAACCTTTGTACTAAAAAATTTATGACCTCTACTTCTCATTAATGTTCTTCCTAAAAGTCTATTATTCATAGCTTGTATAAAAATTACCTATATCACAAAGTAATTATAAAATAAAATATAAATTAAATAAAAGAAACCTTTTCTATCGTTATTATTGATATATCGTCAATATTAAATTTCATCTTAGTATTTTCATAATCCAAAGATGATTAAATATACATATATTGTGAAGCTAAAATGATAGAAAAACATAAAGATAAAAAAGTTTGATTAAGATACACCAAACAATATAGTAGTTCATTGGTCTATTGACATCACCGACACTTCATTTATCGAACTATTTATAGTTAATATATAAAGTAATAAAAGGATAAACTATCAGATTACTTCTTAGGTTATCATTATGTTACAATTTGGTCTGAAATTTTTTTTTAGTACAATTTGATCTTTAAACTTATAAATTTATTTTAATTTATGATTTTTTTAATATAACTGTAAAAATTATAATAGAAAGCAATGGGAATTCTTTTACTTTTTAAATAATTTTAAAGTGTACAATGACTAAAAATTAACGTCAATAAACTCAAAAAAAAATAATTATTATATTTTATTTAAGTAATCAGATGATAATAGTATAGTTTAAATAGACTAAGATGTCAGCAATATATTTATTTTCAATTTTTTTTTTCCATTAATACTATTATATAGATATATTATAGTTTTTGACTTATTTTTTTATGATAAATAAATGACAAAAAAAGAAAAACACATTTTTATTTCTAATAAAAGAATTTATTAGAAAATTGTATTTTTTAAAAAAATTTAAATAATAAAATTGATAATTACCAATACTAAAAAATATATAAACATAAATAAAATCTGAAGCAATATATTTTTTAATGTTTATTTGACATGTTTGACAAACCAGACAGGCTTAATAAAATAGTGCTTTGGAATGTAACTGCCTTTCCAATGTCTGTCTTCACTTGATATTTTCAAAATATTTAGTTCCAGTTCACATAATCTCAATATTGCACATAATTTAAGGGCGATAAATATAACAAACAGCAGCAGGCAGCAGAAAGATATATTGAGAAATGAAAGCTGAAAATTTCAAGAATCATAGGGCGAAAAAGAAATAGAAAATTTTGATGAAATAAGTATTAATTGATTTATATGTATAATTTCTGTCTTTAAATCTACAATCCTGTCCCTAAGTAGTTTGTCCTGAGAATCCAGAAATGCTACTAGTGGAATTTGTGATCCATATAACTAGGGAAGATATACAATTAAAAGAAAAAAAAAAACACAAATATATATATATATAAATTGTTCAAAGAATTCAAGTTCTAGACCTCTTGCACTGTATGCTATAAGACCCAGAAACCTCCAAGCATAAGTATATAAGTCACGAGGAACACGATAATGCTAATTCCGGTGAGATTTTTGGGGACATTCCGAGGTGAATTATTATCACTCAGCTGCCCGGCATTGACAAATTCACTTCTGCCAGTGTTAGTAGACGCAGAGACATTGACTGACATTGAGCCTGGTGAGAGAAATTCATATCAAGACATCAAAAATCAGTAACTTGATATAACAAATGTAAAAGCAACATCTTAAACAGTTCGCCCCCCAACAATTTACAGAATGATTAACTGAAGGGCTTTCTTTGTCCTTCTCAGAAGATAGGCCAGTACAAACGTTACCAATGGCTTTTTCAACTTATGATAGACCAAAAAAAAAAAACTCTGGTAAATCATGCTTTCATAGGACTAACTCCTCGCTACCGCAGTTAACATAGAACCGAGGAGAGAAACAAAAAGACAGGTTTTACTTTACATGCCATGCTCAAGCTAATTTTAAGTTGGTAATCTCAACTTACAGTCATAGTTCGCCCATCCAATCCGTTGACCAGCTAAATCATATACGAAGATTTTGTCCTTGAGAACAAGATCTGCAGAAAAGATGAAAGGTGATATTGTTGGAATGAAGAAACAAAAGCACTTCAAAGGACCTAGATATAATGGCATAACTACAGAATAGAAATTGAAATTAACTTTCATTGGCATGATGAATGGTATGGAGGTATAAATTGTTCACGCTCATTTCAAAGCCACCATGAAACTATAATTTTGATCTTATTAAAACAAAAAATTCAATAAGGAAAACCTTTGTAACAAAGGAAAGAAATATATGAGGAAAATCTTTGTAATAAAGGAAAGAAATACACATGATTAGGAAGGAGAACTGATGAAGAAAAGGAAATTAAAAATGTTTAAAAGTAGTTTCTTTCCTTTTGTAACAAAGGAAAGAAATATATGAGGAAAAAACATTTGTAATAAAGGAAAGAAAGACATGATTAAGAAGGAGAACCGATGAAGAAAAGGAAATTAAAAATGTTAAAAGCAGTTTCTTTTCTGAAGCTTTTTCAACTAAATTTTGATCATCCAGACACACTTACAGTCGTTACGAAATTGTCAGATGCATTGCAAAAGGCATAAAACATTTCATGGACAATGCCAGATCGAGAACATGCAAGAAGCATAATCAGTTGTATATTGATACCTCCTAAAATTGTAATTCCTTGTCCCTGGATTTTTTGAAAGCCAATGCACCAAACTGCAGCACCTCCCTACATGCCAAGGTCATTCATTCTGGTTAGTGAATCAGGGTATCTAATTAAAAACAATACCTCTAGTTAGGTAAAACTGTTGTTGGCTATACATAAATGCACTTACAACTGAACCCAGATTAATTGTTGGGCAGCAAAGTGGAAAAGAAAACTATAAGGATCTATGTTCAAGAAAACATAACTGGAAGTAATCATATTGCTGGAGAATCTGCCAATCATGGATCAAAACATTCTGATAGATGCCATGACTATTCTCCTAGAAAATACTTTGAAAAAGGTCCCGTGAAGTTTTATCTTTATAGTTTTTGCCAAAAGAAAAATAAAAAGCATAATACTTGAGAGAATCTAATGCCTAGGAAGAGAAACAAAAAATTCCTTTCTTAATTAGGAGAATTGTACAAACCTAGCAAAGTGAAAAAGAAATAATTTGCATCTAGTACAGGTGACAACAAAGTAAATGTAACAATCAGAATCAGCCTGGGTAGGATAACAAGCTTGACTTGCTGATTAAAAGAAAGAATATCAACAGGTGAAGTTCACCAGTAAGTTTAAAAGAAACTTTAGAAAATAGAGGGGGAAATTAGAAAAAAACAAATAATATTAAGGTAAGTGTTTATTTTCTTCATAGAAATACTTCAAGGAAAGAGAACAAACCCAACTTCTTCCAACTCCGCTACGGTTTCAGTACAATGATTAACCAGAAATGGCTATTTATTGCAGTGTTCATATTAGATTATAGACAAAATTCCCAAAAAGCATCAATCTTGATAGCTTACAATTGAGTTCTGCTGTATAAGGTAGTCCTGAGGATTTAGAATCATGGATGCACCACCAGCAAAGTTAAAACTAACTTGAGGAAATATGTCTGTGAGACTGCACCGAAAAGTTAAACCATTGGAGATTAGATAATCTAAAGTAGGTGACCCTAATTGAAAACTGAGCTGATATGTCAAGAGAGTGAACCTCGAGGTGATTAAATAACACTGGTTTCCCTTGGAAAGAACAGGGCGCACATTTTGTGAAGCAATATTTGTAATCTGCATGATAACACAAAACATAATTGACCTTCTTTATTTTTATGATGTTCTGTAATCATACTAAACAACTGTCTTGCTCAAGATAACTTGCTTAAAAATTGACAGAAGCTTGTGAAGTTTTGTGGTGTTAAAGTGTCCCAAGTAGGAAAAGAAAGAAAAACTGCTGCCAAAACTTACAGCTTCAACAAAAGGATCGTAAGCTCCTTCTGCTAGGTATGCCAAAGTTGTTCCTGTATCAATTATTGTGCCTTTGTTGGTAGATGTTGAAAATACTGATGAATCAATTGGTAAAATTTGACCATTCACAGCAATGCTCTGAAGGTACACATTATAATGAGGCCTGAAATTTTGGGACATACCACTGGTTAGTCAACAATCCTTGTTCTATTGAGTATAGACAGATGACCTTAAAATCGAGAGAGTGCCTTGCTAGTTAAGGCACAATCAAGAAAGCTTGAGCAGCACTTTCTTCCATGCAAATCTTTCTCCCTTAATTCCTCTCTCATCTGAAAGCAGGAACAGACAAGAAGTTCCCAACCAAAAAACATCTTAACAAATATGCTCTCCTATACGTTGATTGGAAAGTCATTTTTAAACTTTATAACATCCATTGTCGTACTTTTAACCTTTTAAAGTCATTTTTAAAGTCCATTTAACATACCTAAATATGAAGAACTGAAACTTTAGGATAGAAAGCCCAAAACCATTTTCCTGGTAGAATGTATCAAGTTGAGGACTAATAGCATGTCCCAAAATAATTATAGTTTCAGGAATGAAGAAAAAATTCAGTGATATAAAATGGGAAAAAAAGAGTTTGAGGAAATAACATACTGTGATGGTACAAGTGGAGTGTATGCTATATGTGGATCCAGAATTTCACCAAGAACCAGTATACCTCCACCACTACCATCTCCCTTGAGACAGTGAGAGAATACCCTAGGGGTTAATCCCTGCGAAGCAAGCTGTGAGATGACAGACAAACTCTGCTGGCCGAACCCAAAGATCCCATCAACTGCTCTATCTGACTTTACCAAGTCCCCCGTTTGTAATGTGCTACAACTGTTCATGGCCAGAATTATCAAGGAAATAAATTTCAAGCTCTAAGCTATATCAAAGTATTTGAACCTTAAGAAATTCATGTTAACTCACCCAAAGACAACAGGAGCTGAAGAATTTGTTATCAAAGTACTGCCAACAATTGTGTCAAAGTACATCAAATCTGAGACATAATAGCCTGAAGTACCACTACCATCTCCGTACTGAAAAGTGTAACCACACAGATTGTTCTGAGCAGAACAGCCAGAATCGGATGATTCAATTCCTAAACTGCATCTTTGGTCCGAACAGGAGATCACTGAAGATGTTGATGAGCTCCCAGGATCAAAGAAATTGAGCTGAATCTTGGAGGAGAAAAGAAGAAAGAAAATTAAGCACTTTACTGAAATATGGCAACATTACTTATTTGATAACATAAAATGGTATCAACAAAAAAGTGTCTCAAATGGGAAAGATTATAATCAAGAAAAAGTTAGTTTACATGGAGTCCACTATTTTCTGGGCAACCATTGCAGGAACCGCAGCTAACCCACAAAACATCACTTCCTGTATCAATCTGCACATGAAATTCTCTTGGAGGACTGCCCAGTTGCAGTTTTGTATAGTAGAGCCTACAAATGAAACAAATATCCGACCCAGGCAAAGAAACCAATATAATCAAAATAGGGACTGAATTCTGAAACTAATAAACTAAAAATTAGTATAAATAAAAATCCAAAATCATGTGAGTGAAGATTTGGGGAAGATGAAAAGAACAGCGAAACCAAATAAACTAAAATAAAAGGAGCAAAGGGACAAACAAGAAAGAACATAAGGGCTAGAAAATCTCAAAGAAAACGAAGAAAAAAACAAACAAAGAAAGACCGAAATGGAAAAAGAAAATGTTACCAACCCGAAAATTTAGGAACCCATCATCCAGAAATCAAATCCAAGCCCATGTAAAAAAAAACCCAAAACACAGACAAACAATCAATGAAGAAAAGGAAGAATCCCCGAGAATTACCCAACAAGGAACGGATCAAAGGTCCCAGAAACCGGAAAATTGACGACGCCACCTAAAGACTGCAACAACCTCCCATGCCTGACTCTGTCCCGAGCCCTGAGTTGACAAAGCTCGAGCATGTGACTCTCCGGAATCGCCCTCTCAAGCGTCAAAGTGGTCGGAAATCCATACACAACCACCACCGCCGGTAACAGCACGGCGGCTATGAATAATCGGACGGGTAGAGTCTCCACCATCTCGGCGTTTTCTCTTTACGGGTAACCAAAGATTCACTCCTCAATAAATAAAGCAAGCTGCTTTGTCTAGTATTGAGGGAGAAAAAAAAGGGAAGAATGTTAACGGCTACAATTGGGTTCTTTAAAAAAGAAAAATAGATGACAAAGATTTGTGCTTGCCTTTGTATTCAGACTGCACTTTTTCAGTCTGTGTTTTTGGGTTTTTGTGTTGAGAGAGAAGAGAGGATTTGAGAGAGAGAGAATTGTTGTTAGGGAGCCAATAACAGAAGCTTCTAATCCATTGTGGATTATGTTATTTATTTATTTGGTATTTTTTCTCGAATTATTTATAGGTGATAACATATATTTATGTATATGTATGTATGTATGTATGTATGTATTTATATCATGTCAGTTTCCATGCGTCTTCCTGTTTGGTAAGCTGAACTGCTACAGAGTGCACATCATGTGTGCATTTTTCACCTTTTCTCTATTTTTAATTTTAAAATTACCTCAGCTACTCAACCGTTGATTATTTTACCAACTCATTTTATCATTTAAAAATTCAGAAATATTACAAACTTTCATTTTTTTTTTCATATTTCCACTCTAAACATTGTTTTTTTATTATTTTTAAATTTTAAAATTCTTTTACTTTTCTTACATCGGTTATTGTATAACCATTTTATTTTTTTTTGAGATAAAAGTGATATATAAATTGATAATGCCAAGGGTGCGTAATATATCTATGAGTATATCTATAATAATTTTTAAATTTTTAAAAAAATTAAAATTGTGACCAAGTATAACAAAATTAAAAATATGAAATCACGTATTATTGATAATGATAAAATTAATTTTTTTATCTTAAAAAATTTTATAATTTTTTTCTTTTCATAATCTACAAAATTATTAGAGAATAACTCTATGCCACTTAGTACTCATCTTAACTCCTTCCCGACCTAAAGATAATTCAAAAAATACCAAACAACTTATAAATTATTTTTCGAAGTTGATAAGAGACTAGACATGCAAGTAAAAGATGGTTGCAGGACTCAAGATTTTGTCTGCACAGTACACACCAATTGGCCAAAGCAAAGCCTCTTTTCATGAGGTTGTCAAGTGTAAGAATACACCCCAAAGTACCTTCTCATGCAAAGACAAATTCTAAGTGGGACATGAGAGTACCATATAATTTTATAAAGAAAGATAGGATTACAATTAATACTGTTCACCAAAAATCTGTAAAGTGACTTGATAGAGAAAACATAATTTTTATACAGATTTCAGTTTAACATTGACCAGTTGCTCTACTAGTTTTTCATATTCCAACACCTCTCAATTTTTTAAATTTTTAGTAACAATTACATTCCCAACCGAAATAAAATTAACCCCATAAATATTCTTGATGAGCATAGATTTGTTCTTAACAATGGCATAAATTTGTAGAACCAGCTTTAGAAGTCAGTCTGACCACACCAAACATCCACTTTTACTAACCACCTATTTGGAATTGTTTTGCACATGTTGACTTGAACTCAAAATGCTCTTCCATAAACTAAGCCCAAATGGATTCTTATCTGCCACAGTATGATCAAATCCACTTACCATGTAATGTAATGCTTTGTTGGAGCTACTAATTGACCTTAAGCCTAAACCTCTAGCTTTAATAAGCTTTTTTGCTTGTTCCCATTCAACCAAATATATCCTTTTGTTCACGTCGCCATCCCCCCCAAAGGGATCGACATTAAATAAATACTAGTTTTTTAGTAATTTTTTTGGATATAATGAGCACTGATAGATAATAGATGCGAAGATTTAACAAAATGCTTTTAATGGGAGTTAGTTTTTCATCTTTATACAAATATTTACTATTCCAACAAGCCAATCTGCTATAAAACATCTCGACGATCGGTTCTCAACTCTGACTATTTTTTTGTTTGGTACCTAAAGGAACACTCTGATATTTTATGGGAAGATGGGCAAATTTGTAGCCAAGGACACCAGCAAGAGATTCATCTATATTGTCCCCAAGTGTAATTAATTCTGATTTTTCCATGTTGATTTTAAGGGTGGATATCGTCTAAAAGCACAGTAGGATGCATCTAAAATGAAGAATATTCCTGATATCAGCTTAAAACAAAAAGAGTGTGTCATCCATAGATAAAAGATAAGAAAATTCAATTTGGTGACCATTCTTCCCCACATAAATATCCCTCAACAACCTTAAATTTTGAGCCTGTATAACAAATTTATTAAGGGCTTCCACGACGATAATGAATAATAAGGGGGAGAAGGGGTCACCTTGCCATAACCCCCTACTGGTCTTGAAGAATTTTGATAGGCCTCCATTTATCATAACAACAAAACACGTGGATGTAATACACTCCCTAATCCAGCTTCTCCATTTGAATCCGAAACAGAGATACCTAAGCATATGATCAATAAAATCTCACGAGACATGGTCAAAAGCTTTCTTCATGTCAAGTTTACATAAACCACCACTTCTCTTATTTCTTATAACATCATTAATCACTTTGTTGGTCATAAGGATAACATCCGTAATTTATTGCCCATAAACAAAAGCTTGTTGGTTTTTTCTAGTGATCGAGCCGACGACTTTGGATAATCTATTGGCCAAGACCTTTGAAAGGAGCTTGTAGACATAACCAATTAAGCCAATAGGCCTGAATTTTTTTAATGTTGGATGCATTCTTCTTTTTTGAAATCAAAACCATATAAGTGGAATTAAGTGATTTGACAAAGGAAGAATTTTTACAGAAATCCTTGAAGAACTTCATAACATCAACTTTAAGGATTCCCCATAACACTTGGAAGAATTTTCTATTAAAGCCATCTGGATCCGGTGCTTTATCCCTATCACAACTATTAAGGCAATCATAGATCTCTGTTTCCGTGAAATCAGCTTCCAAAAAAGAGATTGCAAGATCATCTAATCTATTAAAATGTAGAATATCAAGCTTCGGTCTCCAATTACACTCTTCTGTATACATGTTCTGAAAGTAATTGCATGCGCTGTCTCTCATTTTATTATTTTCCTAAATCTTAAGAGTTTTTAATATAAAGTTCCTCCACATCGTTAATACTTCTGCAATAATTAGCAAGACACTGGAAATACTTGGTGTTTTTGTCTCTATCTTTTAGTCATTTCTCCCTAACTTTTTGTTTCTAAGATTGAGCTTCTAAATTGAGTTTATTGGCCAAGTCCAGTTTGATTGTGTTCTTTCTTTCCCCATCAATAAGTGATAGATCGAGATCACCATCAGCCTTGTCCAGTAGGTCTAGTTGATACATTACCCCATTGATATGGTTTTTCTCAGCTATTTCCACTTCATTAGCCCAGGTTTTTATTTTTTCTTTTAGCTTTTTGAGTTTCATGGTTAGACAGAAGCTAGGAGTTCCTTTGCGCACCGTATTTTTCCATACCGATTCCACCAAGGACTTGAAACTTTCTATTTTGAGCCATTTGTTATCAATTCTAAATGGTGAAACTCCCCATTTAATACCCTCAGGATCTAAACGAATCAGAAAATGATCAGAAAGAGGTTTAGTGAGTAATTTTTGAGTGAGACTCGATATGTCCAGAAGGAGATCGTTACTGATTAGGAATTTTTCGATCCTTGAATAAAAGGTAATTCTCTCTCACTGCTCCAGGTCCAATTCCCGCTTTTCAAAAGAAGACCGACCAATCCAAGGTTGTCAATATTAGATTGAAAGTCCTTAGCTTCAGGGGCTGAATATTGGTTGTTGGACCTGATGTAAACCTGGACATAAGAGACCAAGAAGACAACTTGGGAGAAGCTGGAAGCACGACTCAAGTTCCGGAGGGACCTATTACCCGAGCTCGTGCCAAGGACTTTCAAAAGGCCTTCAATTTGCTCGTCCAAACTTGGATCACTTAGAAAATAGAATTTGAATCTCAAGAAACTGCAAGAACAGATCCAAGAAAGCAAGAAGAGCCCTGACCATATCTGGTTCTGGTTTGGGAAGAGAATGGAGGTGCAGTCCCGCTCACTCGCACGGGAACTACAACAAAATAGGAAAGACTGAGCTGAGTTTCTCTTTGAGGAGGGGCTTGAAGTCCTCGCCATGAAATCCGACTAACGTGCAAAACAGAAATAAAATAGAGACTAAAAAGATACCTGCAACCAGAGAAGGATTCTCCTTGCCGCAAGCCATCTTTTAGTTTTCTGAAGTTGTTTCCCCCGATTTGCAGCAAGAAGAAAAGTCTGCATGGCTGCACAATAAGAAGAAGAAGAGAGGAAGAATGTCGAAGATGAGTAGAAGAAGGAAACTAAAAAGAGAAAAGAGGAAGAAGACCGCACAACATCGGAGAGTGAGTGGTCCAAAGGAGGTAGAGTCCTACTTGATTCCTAAATTCCCAAATTGTTTACAATTTTGGAAGAAGTACTATGTACAGCCACTACCCCCACAAAGAATTAAATAATAAAGAAATCAGAAGATACAGCCATGTGGAAGACAAGTGTCAAAGTGGAAAAGGGCGTCTAAGCCTATCAAAGAAGAGGAGTCTAGCTTAGTTAACTCTAGATTTTTTTTTATTGCAATTTTATTTTAGTTTTTGAGTTTTAGTTAAATTAAATTTTAGTATTTTATTGTAATTAAACTTAAGAATTATATTTAGAAGTCTTATTTTCTAATTTAAGTTAAATAAAGATGGTCAAACTCTATAAATAAAGTCCACCACCTCTTCTTGAAAATACAATTCAGATTTCAATAATATTCACATTTTCTTAATTTAGTTTTTAAGTTTTCAAGAGTGAGTTTAGTGATGATGTTTTCAACCGACTTGTTGGGTAAGGAATTGAGATCACTTATCGAAGTAACTCTCATGATATCTTTTCAATTATAAATTTTTTTCTTTCTTTCTCTACAACATTGATTTTCACTTTTATGTTGAGTGCGGATTAAATAAGAATGACTTATTTAGAGTTTTGAGTTTCAGATTACTGATATTTATGCGGGATTTTGGATTGCGTTGGTAATCTCGAATTCTGCATCAGGACCTCTCTCATCTCCTAAGAATTATCTTGTCCCTCTACAATACACACTAATAAACAATCATTCATATCCATTAAGAGAGTTGTTGAAGAGACAAGAAACAGTTATCTTTTTCGACAGACTATCCTTACAATTAACAATATCTCTATTCCATATAATCATAACACCCTCAGTATTGTTCCTTAATTTACTATTATATTAATTAATACATCTTTCTTAAAAAATATAAATTTTTATAAAAAATTTACATAAAAAATTATTAATTGGTCTCAAAAAGGGGATTAATTTAATTTTAAAAATTACAATTTAATTTATTTCTGTTAAATTCTCTCTATAATGTATAAAGTAAATTATTAAGACATGACCTAAATTTAGGTTAATACACAAAAATGCTTGATCCCACCATTGCTTTTCCACTTTTAAACTAATTATTAAATTAGTCTCTTCTATGGAATTGTTGGGTTGTTCACGTCTTGTCTCAAGTAGCTTAATTTTCTATTATTGTTTTTGTTTCTTTTCTTAATTAACTGAATTCATCATGCTACCATTTTTTTCAGCATATTCTCTACTAATGAACTTAAAATGAAGTTACAGAATAATCAAATTGAAGGAATCAATGTGTGTAAAGCTATAAGACTATAAAAAAATAATAATAATAAATTAGTATATGAGAAACTTGTAAAGAGACCTAATAATACTTGCCAACATACAAAATAGAAACTATATCAAGACAAAAAATTAAAAATTATTATATAGTAACTTGTTCTATATAAGTACACACACACACACACACACACACACACACGAAATTGTGTTAAATAATTGATTAAGAACCTAGTTATATGAGTAGTCATGACAAGAAAAGATAATTAAAACTAATTTAATATCCACTTATTTTTATAGTAAAAAATATACTCAGTTGAATAGATTTACAAAATAAAACTACAGTTTCAAAAGTCATATAAAATATATAGTAAACATTAAGTTCATATACGAGATAATTTTAGGTGCTTTAATATCGTATTCATTAGCGCTAAACTCATTGAGACATGTTTTTTATGTTAGAGATGTGGAATTTAAATAAATAAGGGAAACAACATGTACATTAAATAAATACTTTATGAAATATTTTATTTTTTCACTACAAAGGACGATGGTCGGGGATCAAACCACATCAAAGTCTTCAGCTCCTTGGGTATTGACTAAATTCTCATGGTTCAATCAGAAATGAGTTGTTTCCACAGGCTATAAACGGCACATGCATTCCTTTTCTAATGTGTCTGTGTAACCAACATACTCCCAACTGTGGCAAAGTAGCTCCAGAGTTGGTTTGTAGTAGTAGTTGGAGGAGACCACCTCAAGTAAAGTATTCTAGAAGCAAAAGTTTGAATTGGATGAAGACCCATGCATGAGTTAGTGTTTAATTCAACCATAAATGAGTTAGTAGAGACTCTTTATTTTGTGAAACTAAAAATTTTTCACTTGTGAAGATATGGTCTCATATCACCTGAATTATATGACAAAGCATAATATATAATTGGTCCTTATGCTATTTAATTTTTGTTTAAATTGGTCCTTCAAATATATTTTTATTTAGATTACCTATGTACTTTCTCAAATGATTCAAATATACAACAACCACATATTAATACTATTTTAGAAGTATTATAATCTTATGCAAATTACTCCTATGCTATTTCTCCTTGGTAGTTTCTAGTAATTGGGAATATGTCGCTAGAGAAACTCTCTCTCTTCAGTTCTCTTTTACTTGGTCAATCCTCTCCCTCTCACGAAGTTTAAGCTTTTATTTTCACTTATAGAAAATATCTTAACAAATTCTTTCCTCTTCTACACTTGTTGATCCAATCACTCTCATATAGTTTTAACTTTAATTCTCACTTCACAAAAAAGATATTAAGAAAAAAATTATCATATAAAATACACAATCCTAAGATAATTCTTCAATTTCAAGAACCATTTCTTTGAACTTTTGTTTGGGGGAACCTGTAATTACAAAATATACCACATATGAGGAGCAACTACTTACATACTCTTTGGAGAAAATAATGTCAAAATAAAAGAAGGTAGATTAGTAGGAGCTTCTAAAATCAATTAGATTATGTCGAAACTGAAGAAGATTATATTGGAACCGGAAAAAAGGAGAGGTTTTCTCTCCTTGCAATTAGGACTCAAATTAGAAAGATGAAGAGGTACATGGTTTGTTGCTTTCTTTAATCCCCTGAGTTCAAGTGCACTCTCAAGATCACTCATGAAAGATTTAATTTTTATTTTCAAAATAAAAAATCTGAAAATGCTTTAACAACTAAAATTAATCAAAAAAAAATATTCAAGAATTTATTAGAGTCAATAACTATGATGACTTAATAACCAAGAGTAGATAGGAAAACGAAACAGCTAGTGGAAAATGAAAACAATTGAAAATATTATTTTTATAATTTCATGGAATAAAATATTATTTTTATAATTTCATGGAAACTTACATGATTTCTGTGTGGTTCATAATCTACTATCTAGAATGATTCTTCGTTTTCGTCAAAATTTTTAGAGGAATTCAACCCAAACTCGTTACTTATTGTATGCTCATATAAACCAAATGAAATTGAAAAGGTTTTCGTAGACATTTACAATCAATCAATAGAGAAACTTCAAACATGGAAAGGGAAACAACTTCACTATTGATT